GAGCAGGGAGCCCGATGCGGGGCTCAATCCCAGGACCCTGGGATCATGACCTGAGCCGAAGGCAGACGCTTAACGACTGAGCCACCCAGGCACCCCCCCATGGGCATTTCTTAAAGTTCAGTTTATGCAGTGATTTATTAATTATGATCTGATTTAGGCTGATGAGTGGTCAGTTTTTTAATTCAATTCTATTATTTCCTGGAAAATTATAAAAGGCATACGTGTTTTGTGTTAGAGAAGTCTTCACCATTTTAGCTATATTAGCAATTAATAAAGAATTAAAAAGAATTTTAGAAATTTCCGATTCCATGCTGAATTAGAATATACATTCAAACTTTAGCTTAAAATTAAACTCCAAAAATAGCAATTATCTAGAAAGACATACACTTTATACATTTCCATTTCTCTGCTAGGCCTTGTAGCAAGATGGAAAATAGGTAATGCTACGATGCAGACTTTTTTGATATATATCTAAAAAGAAGGAAACTACGGAAGTATAATTTTTAAAATACATATTATACTGTTAATTAAGTACAAGTGATCTTTCTTTCCCTGAGTATTTCTTATTTAGTGCTAATTTTCCAAATCCTGCTGCTATAGAATTGTGTAGGAAATAAAAAATTTTCACTTTTAATGTATTACTCCTGACTTAAACATGCCTCTTAAGTAAGTACTACCTACCCATTGAGGAATCATGAATCTGCCCTGTGGCAGAAGACAATGTAAATATAAAGTAAATCAACTTAAAAGTAGAATTTAAAATCTTACAAAAGAGCTTATAAAATTGACAAAAGTTCTGTTGGAGAATTGCTCAATCATACACTGTGCCAATGGACATCAGATTAGAGCTAGACTAGTTAAAACTGAAGAAGATAAAATAAGAATGATTATGTGAAAGGCCATTAAAGGGATAATAATTTATACATTAGAGATTAAGAGAGATATTTTGGAAATCTGAAGAAGATTTAAATTCATTAAAATACCATTAGTCCAAAAGAGAAGTAAAGGATGCAAAGTAAGGAAAATATGATGTATGTTGAGGTTGGGGGCATGTCAGGAACCATAAAACTTAAAATTTTATATGTACTTTTATGAAACCTCAGAAAAACTTTAGAAATGTATATATTTTAATGTTTTTAAGACTTAAAAACCAATCTTTTTCACAATTTAATGTGAAATTCTAATCCTCTTTTAATTAATTATTTATTTATTTTAAAGATTTTATTTGTTTATTAGAGAGTGAGCACAAGTGGTGGGGAGAGGCAGAGGGAGAATCAGATCCCAGGACCCTGGGATCATGACCTGAGCCCAGGACAGACACTTAACTGACTGAACCACCCAAGTGCCCTGATCCCCTTTTTAAGTTTTTTTATGCCTTATAACTCTGTGATAGCGTCCATCATATATAAATATATAAATACAAACATATGTATATGTATATACATATATATATATATGGCTTATGTGTACATAGTTATTGAAATAAAGTACATTTCTAATATAAAAATATGGAATGTTAAACAGCTCAAACACACTCCCTCCAACATTACTCAGATAATTACTGCTTGTTTACAGAAAAAAAGTAGTACAAAACTTTATTCTCTATGAGATAACCTTAATTTCTCTAGCAACATATGTGTATCTACATACATAGATAAATGCACACAAAGTATAAGACATCTGTTAAATGTGGTATTGGAGTGGAGGGTAGGAGGAAAAATCTGGTTGTTGGAACAAACTGTCCTTCCAGGGATGTGTAGTCATGACAGAGATCTAGAAACTGTGCTTTATAAGAATAGGTTGAGAAAGTTGTCAAGTTTCCCATGGAAATGGGAAAATTTTGTGACAAAATGAAAAGTTTTTTCAAATGCTTAGGAAATGGATTAGAAAGCGTATGGATTTCTGCAGTTAAAAGAATGTGATCCAGTGGTTGGAAGAATAAAAAAAGATATTTATCATTACTATAATAATATTTTGGCAAAATGCTTGACACTTTGCAAGTATTAAAAAACTAATGGGTGTTCTAGTTAATTTACTTTTTGCCACAAGAACTACTGAAAAATCAAATGAGTTGCCTTGTAGAGTCATATGTTCTTTCATATTGCAAGAATCCAACTATTCCTTGAATATGTTATTTAGGCAGTTCCAGCAGTAGAAATTGTGGACTTTTAACCAAAACTCAGAAACCTCTTCCATACGTGCGTATCTGAATGGATCAGGATTTGGACTAACTCTTGCCATGGGGAACATTGTTTCCAGTGAAATCTCCTAATATTATGACTGCCATGTGGATTTTTTTTTTCCAATTGAAGTACATTAAACTACAGTGTTGTATTAGTTTCAGGTGTACAATATAATGACTGAACAGTTCTATACATTTCTCAGTGTTCATCAAGATAAGTGTACTTTTAATTCCCTTTATATATTTCACTCAGCCCCTACACACTTCCCCTTTGTTCTCTATATTTGAGTCCATTTTTGTTTATATTTTTATTTTTGTTTATTCATTTGTTTTATTTCTTAAATTCCACATATGAGTGAAATCATATGGTATTTGTCTTTGACTTATTTCACTTGCATTATACCCTCTAAGTCCATCCATGTTGTTTCAAATTGCAAGATCTCATTCTTTTTTATGGCTGAGTAATATTCCTGTGTAATATATATACACACACACACACACATATACCACATCTTTTTTATCCATTCATCTATGGATGGGCACTTGGGTTGCTTCCATAGCTTGACTATTATATATAATACTGTAATAAACATATGGGTGTATGTATCTTTTCAAATGAGTATTTTCATTTTCTCTTGGTAAATATCCAATAGTAGATTTTTTTTTTTAATTTAAATTTAAGCCAGATAGAGGGCTCTAATCACTGGTAGCCTAAAAATAGTATCTATCTTGTATTGTGTTTTGGGGATTGACAAAATTATATAAATGACCTAGCAAGGTGCCTTGTACATAGATAGAAAATTTAGCTACCATTAACTATATAATAGTAGTTTGCTAACTAGGGATATAGCAGTTTACTATAAAAATGCAAACTTTCTTAATAATAATTGAACATTTTGCCTTGAGAAAATCATTCTGATTGTAAGAGAGTAATTTAGACATAGTGATAGAGGTTACAATAGATTAAGATAAGTTTCATTGCCCAGGTTGATTCTGGTTGTTTGCATATTATCTCTTAAAAATAATTCCCAGGCTGAGTCTACTTTCTTTTATGTTAAATGAATTATTTCTAAAGGCAGAATGTAGAGAAAAAAATTCTCAACAGAAGATCTCAGTGTAGTTTAAGTATATTGAATTCTTCTCTCCATTTTCTTTTTTTTTTCTTTTTTGCGGGGGGTTATTTAACATAGAAAGTAGGTTGGGCTCCATATGTGGCATTTGTTAACAGATGCTTTTGTTGCTTTTATCCCATCCCATCTGTGCTGGGCAGTTCCTAAACACATTTACTCACCTCAACAACCTCCACGTTTATGCTTTACGCCTTTTTTTTGGAAGCTGAGGGATCTTACTGATTGCACACACCCGTTAGCCACTCATAAGTCAGTCCAGACTATGAATATGTTAATGCCCTGAGGACAATGGGGGATAAAAGTCGATGGACAATTTCTCTGTTTCTCTCCAGGAAAACTTCTGATGTGTCTTCTCCACAGATCTTCAGAAGTTCCTCATTGAATGTATAGTTATATATTGCCAAATAACAATTACCCCCAAAATCTAGTGGCTTAGAACAGCAAGCATTTATTATCTCACAGTTTCTGTGATCCAGGAATTTAAGAGTGGCTTATCTGGGTGATTCTGGCTCAGGATCTCTCATTAGGTTGCAGTCAAGATGTTAGCTGGGTTAGTCATATGAAGACTTGCATGGGCCTAAAAGGTCCTCTTCCAAGTTCTCTCATGGGTTGTTAAGCAGAGAATTTAGTCCTTCTTCACATGGTCTTCTTCATAGTGTTACTTGAGTGTCTTCATGACATAGCGGCTGGCTTGCCTGAGAGAACGAAAGAGAAAAGAATGAGGAAGCCACACTTTGACCAGATGCTACACATTAGCAATGAAGTACAGTCCACACTCAATGAGAGAAGCGTTAGGCTCTATGTCTTAAAACGTATGACGAATTTTAAAACCATCACAGTGGGACTGAGCACCATTACACACAGTGGCAAAGAGCTAACTGGGACCTTTTTTTTCCTGTCTCATTTTCCCTACTCCGGCTTATTTGTATCACCTGCCAAATAAGCAGCCTGTGTTTAAGTCCTTGTCTCAGTTTGTGCATATGGAACATTCTAAAGCAAAACAACTTAGTACTCTGAAACTTAAATACTCTCAAGATTAAAATTTGAAGCAATGTTTTACTGAAAACTGATATGAAATAATATCGTCTATAAAAAGAAATTCATTTGGGGGCACCTGGGTAGCTAGTCAGTTAAGCCTGCAATTCTTGGTTTCAGTTCAGGTTGTGATCTCAGGGTCCTGAGATCAAGTCCAGAGTCCAGTGCCACTTAGCAGGGAGTCTGTTTGAGTCTCTCTCCCTCAGCTCCTCCCTCCACTCATGTGCGCTTATGTGCTCTCTCTCTCTCTAAAATAAATCTTTAAAAAAAAGAAATTCATTTTATTTTGTGCAGTCATAATCACTGAAAGAGTTGTTAGTTCCTTTTTATCTAAATTATTTTACTTCTCTGTATATAGTTTCAACAGCTATTTAGACAATATTCTGATTTGTAAAGGGGTCTCAAGAAACTTTGATTTATGTTATAATAATTGCCTTCTGGGAATATTCTTTTAATTCATATGCATAATTAATAGTAATGATAATAGAATTACTCAGGATAAAAGTAAAAATGTTAAATTAAAAATGACCTTTAAGATTCATAATTTAAGCAACACTAATAAAAGTACTTATTTTACATATTAATTAGGATTATACTTTATGCAATTTACTTAAGGCTATAATAAAATTAATTTGCACATTTGAAAATACATATAATAATTTAGATTTCAATCTATCACCATTTCTGCAACAAATCCATCACATGAGTTTAAAATACCTGTGGTTTTAAAAATTTAGAAGATAAAATGTGCTCAAATGAATAGTACAGAAAATAGGTAAGTAACAGAGCCCAATATCGTCTGAACAAATAATCAAGGCCATTGTGGTCAGCTCATTGGTTTTGCGTACTCACTAGGCTATCCCCAACTTTTCAACCTGGCGTTCCTGTGGGGGTTCCCAGGCATCTGGTAGTTTACAATGTCAAAATATATAAAAACAAAAGGAGAGAGAAAAGTCAATGTGTGACTCCATAGTCATTCACATGAATATATTAAGCAACAAATTTGGATTCCATGATCTAGATCAGTTATATGACCATTTCAGTTCCAGTTTGGTGATCTAGTGTATCATCCAGGACAAAGAAGACATCAGAACACAATGATAAGAGAGATATAAGGTAATTTTATTTTGTCTTGTTTTACCTATGTCTATTCTCCAGAAGTATGGTTACTTACATGAAAATAAGTCAAAAATTCTGGAACATGTGAATTTTTTACTAAGATATAAGCAAATAAAATTAAACAGATGTTCAGAGTATGTGAATTCCTAAAAACTAAACTATAAAGGGAGTGTCTAATATTCAGACGGATAAATACTTCATATTTTGGTATACTGTGAAGCAAATGGATTTATATGAAGCTGTCACTAATTATTAAAAGGAAAAAAGGTAGATGACAGAAAAGAACTGTGAAGATTCTGAAATTGTATGAAGTGACTTATTTGCATATTTGAAATCTTTTAGCTATTCTAACTTGAGAATTATTGGCTTCATCAACGTTCCTAATAATGACTTCTGAGCACTTAAAGTTGATGCTTTGCAATTGAAAAAAAAAAATGCTGTAATGTGGCTGATTCCTTAACAATTATTAAACTACATCCTACTAAAGTATGCTATCAAATTCTGGCAAATGGAATTTTAGAGATTGCAATCACACTACTTTCTAAATCAGAAAGTAAATATTTTAAAGCAAAATAAGAGTTTAGTAAATGTGTCTAGGTGTGTAAGTTGAATTAAGTCTCATTAAAATTCAATTGTAACACATCTCAACTAAAATGAAAAAGGATTCCGAATAAAGCTGATTGAGAGGGAAATTCAGTTTTTAAACACTACTTATTCTTTCTCACCCCATTGGATGATACCAGGCATTATTTTGTTTAGTATGTTTGCAGACTTTCTTTGTCAAGTGTCCTCATAGTTTAACTTGATAAATGCCCCCAAATGGTTATTTTGGTATGGTGGAATACATAGAGCTCCCCACAAACAAGAACAATAAGAGACATGGATTAAAGATAATGGAATAGAAATACCATAATGTTGATCTTAGTAAATGTGAAATAAAAATAACCGTATCAAAAGAACAGTATCTGCAACAACAGTGGGGATCTAGAGGAGGATTTGCATGAGGAGCTCTTGGAGGAGGTGGTGACCAATAGAGTGGTTATAGAAAAATGTCCAGGCAAGGTAGTTGACAAAATAGCTATAAACCATATATATGATTCTACTTGCAACTTGTCTCCAACAGGTGATGGAGCAGTGTTTTCCAATTTGAATAATCATTTGAGGATAGCTCCTACTATTGGCTAATAGAAGTTCAAACTGGCTAATAGAAGTAACCTTTTTTACCAAGTAATTAATTTGTGTTTTATGTCCTCTCCCCCAATATTGTAAATCAAGTCTTGTGTTAAAAGCCCAATGTGACAGTTTCATGATTTAGTAGTTTCTTACTTATTTTTTTTTTAAGACTTTTTAAAGCAGTTTTAGGTTCACAATAAAATTCAGAGGAAGATACAGAGATTTCCCATATTTCCCATACACCTCCTGCCCCCACACATGCCATGCATAACTTCTCCCTATTATTAGCATCATTCACTAGAATCATTTATTTGTTATCGAGGATGAACCTACATTGACACATCATAATCACCCAAAGACCTATATACCTTAGGGCTCACTCTCAGTGTTGTTTAGTCTATGGTTTGGACAAAAGTATAATGAAATGTATGTCCATTATAACAGCAGACAGAATATTTGCACTGCCCTAAAAATCCTCCATCCTCTCCCTATCCATCCCTCCTCTCCCTCCCCAACACTGGTAACCACTGATCCTTTTATTCTACCATAGTTTTTGCCTTTTCCAGAATGTCATATAGCTGAATTCATACTATGTCACCTTTTCAATTAGCATCTTTCACTTAGTAGTATGCATTTAAATTTCCCCCATGTCTTTTTATAGCTTGATGGCTCCTTTCCAGTACTGAATAATATTCCATGGTTGTAAATAGACCTTTAATAATATGATGATGAAGGTGAGAGGAGGAGAAACATTCTATACTCCTATGATTAGGTCTTAGTTTTTTGGTGATCCTGTCTCTGGACTGTGAAGTTCACAAGTGTTTCTCAGACCCCATAGGTGGGACAGAATGGCTAGAGTGGGCTGGAGTTGAGTATTTCCTGTCTTCCACATGGGAAGGAAGGCTAGAACTAATTGGAGTTGGGTATTTCCCTTCCGTAGGTCAGTTAGATTCTGATCATACTTCAGCAAGTTAGGCTCTGATTAACTAGTTTTTCCTGAGGGCAGCCCTTGTTAAGAACAGAGTGCTCTGGTGTATTTCAAAATGTTTCCTTTTCTCCCTCCCCCTGTCAGAAGCAGGAGGAGATTTTCCTCTGGGATTTTACTATGGGGACCTGGTTGAGCTTCTGGAGGTAAATCTCAAAATATTGTGGGAGCCCCATAAGCCTTAGTCCCTGCCCAATTTTTAACTCTCAGACTTGTTCCACACCAAGCTTCCAGCAAAGCATCAATTACAGTTCAGGCTTTCTTACCCTGGCTCTGGTGCCCCATGTCAGTTTCCTCGTGTGAGTCTCTATGCCAGTAAACCAGGACTCCCTGTGTTTCCCTGTCTCTTCACTCTTGGAGTCAGTGGTTTGCCCCATGCCCTCCCTCTCTGGGGACCAAGAGCAGTGGAATTTTTCAGTCTGTCCTGCTTTTTACTTTTTAGGACAGAAGTGTCTTATTAGTTCCTTAATATATCTTTTTGTATAAACAAATCAGGTACATTATTTCCTTAATCTATCAGAAATTCTATTAAAAAATATATAAAGTGAATAGATATATATGAGAATAAATTTCTTATAATATCAATAGCAATAGCTCAATGATTCCATATATTAAACATTATTACTAGTCATAGTATAAATATTTTTGTAGAGTATAGGGCTAAAATTGTTAACGCATTTCTGTATTTTAACGATTTATAGAATCTTTTCATCATTCAAGCTAGGAATATAAACATCACATAACCTTGCAAGAACAAAGAATAAAAGTTTAACATTAAAAGTTTAAAATTAAAATCATAAGCCCTTTGCAGATAACAAGAAGATGACTGTATTCAAGCCTGAAATCAACAGGTGGGGTTCACTTCAGGAGAGCAAGGCTGTTTAACATTCATAAATCAATCTGTATAATTAATCATACTCACAAATAGTTTAAAAAAAACATATAATCATATCAGTCATATTACCATATCATGTATAATTTGACCATATCATATTAACCGATAAGAGAAACTATCAATTATATTTGTAGATGCACAAAAATCATTTGAGAAAAGTCAAAGCTCATTCATGATGAAGACTGTCAAAAAGACTAAGAATTAGTGGGAACTTCCTTAACCTAATAAAATATTTACAGATTGGACAAGAAGAAATCAAATTGTCTTTATTCACAGATTTCATACTGTCTTTGTAGAGAACCCCAAGGAATCTATTAATTTTTTAAATGAATGTTGGAATATTGGAAAGAAAGAAATAAAGAACAAATACCACTTATAAAACAGCCATCCAAACACTGAGGTATAAATCTAACAAAATACCTATAATATCAATACCAAAATAATATAATTTATGTGGAAAACTACAAAACACTAATGAAATAAATTATACATCTAATTAAACTGGGAGATCTTTCTTATTCAAAAACTAAATGTAGAAATATTTCTTACTCATTAATTAGAACACTTAATATTTTTAAGATGTCATTTCTTCCCAATTCTTTTTCTCCCCAACTTGATCTATAGATTCAAAGCAATACCACTCAAAATCCCAGCGAAGTTTATATATATAATAAAGTTTACAATATATATATTTCAAATTATGTTGTAGATACTTGCCCCTTAAGGAGATGGAACATAACTGTTCACCCCTTTAATGTGGGATATGTATAGCTACTTCCTTCTAAAGGGTACACTTGATATGACTTGATGAAAATGAGTTTTTGCTATGATCTTTATCCCCAAAACCCATATCACTAGTATAACCACTAGAATACCATCAAACAAGCCCAAGCTTAAGGACAGTTAAAAAAGACTTAACCAATGCTCCTCAAAACTCTAGAGATTATCAAAAGCAAGTATGAGAAACTATCACAGTCCAGAGGAGCTAAGGAGGTCCGGCAACTAAATGTAATGTGGTGTCCTGGATAAGACCCTGGAACAGAAAAAAAAAAAAAAATTAGGTAAAAACTAAGGAAATCCCCATAATATGTGCACTTTAGGTGGTAATAATAATTTACCAACATTGTATCATTAATTATGACAAATGTATCATATTAATGTAAGATATTAACAGTAAGGGAAGCTGGTTATGGAGTACATGGAAGCTCTCTTAACTGCACCTGCAACTTTCCTATAAATTTCCTATAAATCTAAAATTATCCTGGGGTGCCTGGGTGGCTCAGTCTATTAAACATCTGCCTTCAGCTCAGGTCATGATCTCAGGGTCCTGGGATCAAGCCCCATGTTGGGCTCCCTGCTCAGCAGAGAGTCTGCTTCTCCCTATCCCTTTGTCCCTCCCCCTTCTTGTGCTCTCTCTCGCTCTCTCTCTCTCAAATAAATAAAATCTTTTTTAAAAATTGTTCTAAGAAAAAGAGTCTATTAAACAATTTTTAAAGCTACCCCACTCAAAAAAACTATAAAGCATATAGTTTTTTTTCTTTGCAGCGAAAATTAAAAACAGTATTAATATTGATGATGGATTAGAATGTGGACAAGTAGGCATTTATTATCATGCTGGCAAGTATCTAAATTGAAAAAAAAAAAGTACCTAAATTGATAGAGCATTTCTGAAGAACAACTTATGATATTAAAGGAAAGACGATGAAAACTTCAGTGATGAACAAAATGAGCC